GCAACAACCCACGTTCCCATCAGTGTTTCCTCTAAGCCGAGCTGGTGTGAGCTAGCTCACAGGTTTTTAGCCTCCGGCTCTCACATTGTCTCAGCTCAGGAAGGAGGGCTCCAGAGTCAACTGCTTGATGCAGCAGCCAAATCGCTGGTCACAACTTTAATGCCAGCAGCTCGCAAAGTAGAATTTTTCCTCACAGGACTTCACAGCTTAGAGGGAGCATTGGTTGTAATCTGGGCTTTCTTTGTAGAAAAAGCCCAGCAGGAACTCATTAGCATAATAGGCCACAGCGAACAGCAGAAACTCATTGGCATATTAGGCCACACCCCATGCCTTCCTTTGGCTTGCCCGGGCGCCCCGTGGCTGCAGGTAGCCCAGGCAAGCCCACCCTTGAAGGGAAGGTGAGACAGTTTAAACTGCTTTCCCTTGGCTTGGCCGGGGGAAATGCCTCCCCAATCCTTCCAGCCCCCCCCGGCCCGCCCACCTTGGAGTCACCGGGGGGGGGGGTTGCTCTCCAGGCCTTCCCTCCGTAGCCACACATGCGCAGAGGTTTTGGCTGTAGGTGTGGCCAACTCAGAAGCCAGCCGGAACTCTGTTCCTTTGCGTTCCTGCCCCCAAAATAGCCCTGGTTGTAATTAATCAGGATGACTTCGGTCGCCTAAAATGTATGAATTGGTTAACTGCCGCTGCCTTCCCAAATTACAGAAACAGCTGGAAGGCCAAGAGAGAGAGCTGGGGGTGGATGGGGTTGGCTGCCAGGTGCGCCCCCCCCTGTGTGCAGCTTTTAAGAAGGGGGGGCTGGTAAGAGATGAGGAAAAGGTTTTGGGAGGCAGGAAAATGGGGTGGAGGTCAGGAGCTGCCGACAATTCTGAGGAAAGGCTGAAGAGTCTCTTGCTCCGGATTGCAAGACTAGATCTAATGGGTGGAAATTACAAGGGAGTCGATATCGGCTAAATATCAGGAGAAACTTCCTAACTGTAAGGGTGGTTGAGCAGTGGAACAGACTGCCTCGGGAGGTGGCGGATGCTCCTTCGCTGGAGGTTTTCAAGCGGAGGCTGGGCGACCATCTTTCGGGTATGTTATTGGGCTGTCTTTCGGCTATGCTCCTGCAGAGTGCAGGGGGTTGGACTAGATGACCTGTAAGATCCCTTCCAGCTCTGACATTCCATGATTATTACTTTCCAGGTGAGCAAAGAGACGACTTAGGGAGGGAACGTGATAGCAGATTTATGAAATTATGCACAGGATAGAGAGAGCGGACAGCGGACATTTTTTGGGTGGTGTCTCATAACACTAACACTCAGGCACCCAACAAAATTGAGAGGCAGCAGATTCAAGACAGACAAAAGGAAATAGTTCTTTATACAAGGAGCAATAGTGTTGCCCTGACCTGGATAGTCCAGGCGAGCCCCGTCTCGTCGTATCATCGAAGCCAAGCAGGGTCGGCCCTGGTTAGTACTTGGATGGGAGACCTCCAAGGAATGCCAGATTGTGGCGCAGAGGCAGGCAACGGCAGACTGCCTCCCAATGTCTGCTGTCTTGAAAACCCCACGGGGTTGCCTTAGGTCAGCTGTGACTTGATGGCACTTTCAGCCACCAGTGGAATTATGGGATTTACTGCCCACAGAGGTGATGATGGCCACAAGCATAGGTTCATGGAGGAGAAGTCCTTCAGTGGCGGATAGCTGTGGTACGGCTGAAGGAAGCCTCCATGTTCAGAGGCAGTCAACCTCTGGATTTCAGGGCCAGGAGGCAACATCAGGGGAAGTTCTCAGTCTCTCTGCCCTGTTGTTGACTCTCCAGAGGACCTGGTTGGCTGCGGTGTGAGACAAGATGGACCCTCACTGGTCTGATCCAGCAGGGCTCTTCTGAGGTTCGCCTCAGGGGAAGGCCTCGGCCTCCCTGCCCTGTTGTTAGCCCTCCAAAGGAACTTGTTGGCCGCTGTGTGAGACAGGAGGCTGGGCTAGATGGACCCTCCCTGGTCTGATCCAGCAGGGCTTTTCTGGTGTTCTCCTCAGGGGAAGGCCTCGGCCTCTCTGCCCTGTTGTTGGCCCTCCAGAGGACCTGGTTGGCTGCGGTGTGAGACAGGATGCTGGACTAGGTGGACCCTCCCTGGTCTGACCCAGCAGGGCTCTTCTGAGGTTCTCCTCAGGGGAAGGCCTCGGCCTCTCTGCCCTGTTGTTGGCCCTCCAGAGGAACTGGCTGGCCACTGTGTGAGACGGGAGGCTGGACTGGATGGACCCTCACTGGTCTGACCCAGCAGGGCTCTTCTGGTGTTCTCCTCAGGGGAAGGCCTCGGCCTCTCTGCCCTGTTGTTGGCCCTCCGGAGGAACTGGCTGGCCCCTGTGTGGGACAGGAGGCTGGACTGAATGGACCCTCCCTGGTCTGACCCAGCAGGGCTCTTCGGAGGTTCTTCTCAGGGGAAGGCCTCGGCCTCTCTGCCCTGTTGTTGGCCCTCCAGAGGAGCTGGTTGGCCGCTGTGTGAAGCAGGATGCTGGACTAGGTGGACCTTCACCGGTCTGATCCAGCAGGGCTCTCCTTACATTCGTATGCAATTCTCTTTTTAGAATCCAAGATATCTTGCAGTTCCATTTAGTGGTTAACAAATGAAACAGAAACTCTCTATCTGACAAACACCAAGAACTCCAGAGTTTTTGCTAGGATTAAAAAAAAGACAAAACGACCATTGTCTGCCAGAATGCCTCTTAGCGATTCTAAGAAATAACCCCCACTCAACCCGGTACTCGTTCAAACGGTTTCTGGCATTTTGCGCCCTCTGCTGGCTATTTAGTAGGCAGCACAGCACCTCGATACCCCTGGGGCGTTTTGAGAATGAAAATGGGTAAGTGAAAATGTAAAAGGGTTGCCGTCTTTGTCCAGTCCTCCGAGAGGTTATAAGTACGGTTTTTAAAGGGGGGGGGGTGAGGGAGAAAGAAACACTTTATAAACGGGAGCCAGATGTGCCCGATGAGGAATGAACAAGGAGGCAGACGTCTGGAGGAGAAAACTCTTCCCGTTGGATCATTGCAGAAACGGGGGCGCGTGGGATGCATAAGGTCATAGAGACCACCTGAAACTGCTCTGTTCGGAAGCATTCCCAGAATCTGAGTCTGCCATAACAAGAAAGATCCAAGGCTTCGTTTGAGGACTAGAAGGGTGTTGCAGATCTTCTTTTTGAAGCTGTATCCAGTAGGAAGCTTCCCCCTCTCGTCCCGGTGATCGCAGCTGGGCACTCAGTGTCTGCCATTGAGTGCACTCGGGCGGGTCCCTGCTTCAGAGCGATCTGGGCTCTCCCCGCCTGCCGCCGCACGCGAGGGCTCCCTGTTCCAGATCCTTGCTTGAGCCCCCCTCCGGGGAAAGCCCAATGGAGCCCAGGTGACCCCGGGACCCCGCTAAAGGACCCGGCGATTCGGCCGCACGGTGCCAACCGAAGATGCTGCGCTGCAACTGCAGCTAATGCAATCTTAGGATGCATGAACAGAAGCCTCGTGTCCAGGTCACGGGAGGTGGTCGTTCCGCTCTGTCCTGCGACGGTCAGGCCTCACCTGGAGTCCTGTGTCCAGTTTGGGGCACCACGTTTTAGGAAGGGTGTTGACAAGCTCGAGCGTGTCCAGAAAAGGGCAACCAGAATGGTGAGAGGGTTGGAGTCCAAGTCTTATGAGGAAAGGCGGAAGGAGCTGGGTCTGTTTAGCCTGGGAAAGAGAAGGCTTAGAGGGGACATGACTGCAGTCTTCAAGTATCTGAAGGGCTGCCGTGTAGATGATGGAGGAGATCTATTCTCTCTTGCTCCGGACTGCAAGACTAGATCTAATGGGTGGGAAGTCGTTACCGGCTCAATATCAGGAGAAACTTCTTATCTGTAAGAGTGGTTGAGCAGTGCCTCTGGAGGTGGTGGGTGCTCCTTCGCTGGACGTTTCCAAGCGGAGGCTGGACGACCATCTTTCGGGTATGTTGTAGGGCTGTCTTTCGGCGATGCTCCTTCAGAGTGCAGGGGGTTGGACTAGATGACCTGCAAGGTCCCTTTCAACTCTCACATTCTATGATTCTAACTGGAAACCCCCTGGAGCGGCCTCCCATAGACAGCTTTAAAAGGAGACCAGACAGATTCATGGGAGAGAGGTCTATCAGTGGCTACAGGCTATGGGGAATAGAAGGGACCTCCATACAGAGAGGCAGTCAACCTCTGGATCCCAGAGCCAGGAGGCAACATCAGGGGAAGGCCTCGGCCTCTGTGCCCTGTTGTTGGCCACTGGGTGAGACAGGACGCTGGACCGGATGGTCCGCTGGTTTAAAAGGAAAGTTAAAACTGCAGCATACATACACATCAGTGTAAATATAAGATTATTTCTGTAATCGATGTAGTTTCTGGGCGGTCTTCAAGGGCAGCCCCATGTAGAGCGTGTTGCAGTAATCTAGCTTTATAGCAGAGTAAAGAAACGTAGCCACTTTCTTGGTGACATTAGATGAGATACCGTTCAAAAGTCTATAAGCCTTAAATGTATCAGACCAGTCCCCCATCCTAACGAGAACAGAATGTAAATGCATATAACGCAAATCTGTATACAGGTGGCAATAGAGAAGAACATGAGTGATTGACTCAACACATTTTTGATTACAAGGGCAGTATATGGCTGTAATCGATGTAGTTTCTGGGCAGTCTTCAAGGGCAGCCCCACGTAGAGCGTGTTGCAGTAATCTAGCCGCGAACAATGCAATCTCATGTGCACCTCCTGTGAGCGGCGGCTGTGGCTATCCCATTTGTCCCTGCCTGCAAATCTCTACTGAGGCTTCCGGCAACGGACAGAGGTCTGGCCTGGACAAACCCTGCTTGGGAATCGTGAGGGTCTTCAATAAAGAGAGTAGCCAGTTTTCAGCCGTGCGCAGAGCCAGAAGGGGCCCTTTTGTGTTGAATCTGGGCAGAGTCCCTCCTGGCAAGGCCTCCCCCACGCGCTCGGGGGCTCTAACCCCTTCTCCCCTCCCTCGACTCCCCTGCCCCCCCGCAGCCCATCCGACTGGCCCCGGAGAGAGAGTTCATCAAGTCGCTGATGGCCATCGGGAAGCGCCTGACGACGCTGCCGA